AGTATCTTCTTGATCAGTGGATGAACCATCTCCAAGTATTTCCCCAATTACTGTAGTGCCTCGTGTGCCACCAATAATAGTTCACTGTTGGGGCACTTGGGTGGCTCAGTCGGTTAAGTGTCTGACTTCAGCTCAGGCTCAGGTTGTGATCTTGCAGCTCGTGAGTTTGAGCCCAATGTCTGGCTCTGTGCTGAAAGCTCAGAGCCTGGAGCCTGCTTCGGATTCTGTGTCTCCCTCTCTCTCTGCCCCTGCCCCATTTACGCTCTTTCTCTCGAAAAATAAAATAAAATAAAAACATTGAAAAAAACAAAATAAATAATAGCTCACTGTTGCTCCACTAGCATGAAATTCATTAATCAGATTTAGTTTTCAGGAAAGCTCCTTCATACCCTAAGATAGATGCACTTCAAGTAAGGAAGTGGAAAGTCACCCAAGTCCTGTTTTTTCCTCACAGTAGAGAAAGAGAATTAGAACAACAGAAAAGCTCAGTTTAAAATATGGCTTTTTTTGAGGTGCCTGGGTGGCTCAGTCGGTTAAGTGTCTGACTTTGGCTCAGGTCATGATCTCACAGTCCATGAGTTCAAGCCCCGCATTGGGCTCTGTGCTGACAGCTCAGAACCTGGAGCCTGCTTTGGATTCTGTGTCTCCCTCCCTCTCTCTCTGCCCCTCCCCCACTCACACTCTGTGTCTCTCTCTCTCTCTCTCTCTCAAAAATAAATAAACATTAAAAAATTTGTTTAAAAAGATGGCTTTTTTTGTAGGAAATATTTTTTTTCTAACATACTGAGAAATTTGGGGATAGTTCAGCATAATTTTGAGTGATACAAATTCTTAGGATAATATGCTAATTAGTCACCCGTCCTTCACTCTTCAAAACCTATTCAACAAGAAGACTTTTGTGAGGGAGTATCTAAGTTAGCAGAGGATCACAATTCACCAGGGAAGGAACACAGCCAACTGAGCCTTCAAAAACAGGAAGAAAGAGATTCAATGCCTTCTCTGAACCTGGGTTTTCTCTTATTGACTTTTGATCTTAATGTTAGATACATCGCTGACCTTGTCCCTAGAGGCAAAGTAGAAAGGTAGAAAAACCTGTCCTAGACTAGAAAAAGAAATCCCATTTCCAAAATCTGTAAACTAAAAATGGAGAAGCAGACACTTGATCATGATAGCTCAAAATGGGACTCAGATCAAGTTCCACACAGCAAAGATCTTACTGAATAAATTTTGGTGGGTTTTCAATGTTTTGGGAAGCCGCTTTTTTGCAAATGAGTATTTGGGGTATTTGTTGGCACTGGGGGATGTTGACAGTAAGTCTAGAAATGGAATGATTCCCTTTGTTCACATATTGATGGTTTTATCTTCATTGATTATGATTCATTGACTGTAAGATGCCCTTGATAATATCACACCTCATTATTTCATGTACCAAGAAAGAAAAATTGCTCCTTACAGAATTTGATGTGCTTGCAATGCTTTAGGGTGCATTGTGATTTCAGAGATGTTATTTTGTAAAAAAGTGTGCATTTTAGAATCAATGAGACATGGTGTTTTTCTTACACAAAAACAAGGAAAATCGACATCCTCAACAGCTTGTCTATCTACCTGAAATACCTAACAATAAACAAATTTATCCTTTAAAATTCTATGTGCTAGGTATGATATTTCCAAGAGCAATCAATATTATTGAGTGGATACCGTTAATATTCAGAGAATTAACAAACTGAACTGACATTTGTAAAAGATGTCCCAAATTTCCCGTCATGTTTTAGGATATCAAATATCCACTATTTGATATTTTCCTTCCCGAGCAAAGCAATCTGGTTCCTACAGTGGCTGCCCAGACCTGGGGGGGTAGGGACCGCTTCCATCATCTTTCCCAATTTTTCCTGTGGCCTCTTGAGCAAAAGCTTCTCATTTCCAACTGTTGGCTACCATTAAGCCTCAGAAATGAGTTTTGTCACCTAACATCATCCCTGAGTTAGAGTGTAGAGTTCTTTCTGTCCGACTTGTTACCTTTCTTAACATTCAAGGAAATCTGACCCTTGAGCTCATGATACCGCTGAGCTCCCTGGGTTGGAGTTGATCAACTACCTCTTGCTGTAAGATTTAGTCAACTCTATCTGAGACAGCTTATCATTAGTATATATTTTTTTAAGTTTTATTTATTTTGAGAGGTAGAAGAGGGACAGAGAGAAGGAGAGAGAGAATCCGAAGCAGGCTCCGAGTCGTCAGCCTGATGTGGGGGCTCGAACTCATGAACTGTGAGGTCATAGCCTGAGCTGAAGTCAGACGCTTGACTGACTAAGCTACCCAGGGACCCGTATCATTAGTATTTTTAATGCTATGAATTTTATAGCATGTGGGGTATCTCTTTGGGGGAAAGGATGTGTCCATAGCGAACAATTACCAACAGTTCTACCGTCTCTGCCACTTACGTCATTTCCTTTCACTCTTTTACCACATACATTTTTGCATAGTGGAGATCATTTTTAAGCACAATTTATGAGACGCTTTTTCATTCAATCTCATGTTGTTGAAATAATATGGTTAAAGACTTTTAACCAGGTGATTGTTTTGTTCTGTAGATAATGTTAACTATTCCCCTATTGCTTGTTATTTGGGCTCCATCCATTCTATTTTCGCAATTCTAAAACCTGCTAAAATGAACATCTCTGTAGGTAAATCTCTATCCGCATTTTGACCGAGGGACATAACTTTAATACAATTGATTTGTACCGTTACATCCCTTCCATGGGAAAAATAAAGGTCGTAACAATTTATAACCCAACCAAAGGGGGCAGGAGCGAATGTGAGGGAATAGTTGTATTTATCTAATGCTATTGTCGTATCACTTCAAGGTTGAACGAAGTGGGGAAACGGAGACACGCATTGATAAAGTCGTCTCGTTGCTGGCGGCACTATCGGTTGCGTTTGGAGCTGGGAATCTATTGTCCTCTCCACCTAGACAGCATCTTCCCTGCTTCGTTATAGCCCTGTGGAAATTTGCTCTCCTTGAAATGATCCCAGAACTCCAACAGCACTGTAAAAACTCCTAGTGGTGCCTGGCTGTCTTGTATTTGGTCTTCCCCTCCAATAAAGGATAGGCATGGCCAAAAACACCAAATGGGATACATGTTTGCCTTGCAAACCAAACAAACCCTTCTGTTTTTGTTTTGCTTTGTGTCTGGACTAATTCTTAGCACCTCTTCTGCCTGTGAGCGATTTGTCACTTCCTTCTGTAAGACTGGCACCAGCAGACATGCAGTCTCAGAGGATCCCGGGGAGAAAGCGAGGCCGACCCCCACTGCACTCAACACCTATGAAGATGGCAGTGCATAACCTTTATTCTGCTTCAGCTGGTTCTTTGCCAGCAGCGAAGATCCCAAAGAAAAGAGGGCGGAAGCCTGGGTACAAGGTACGGCTCCATCATCTCCTTTCTCCATGGTGACATTGGGCTGGGGCATGGGTGCTTGGGCAGAGCCCCACTGCAGAATGTGAGGAAAGGCTGGGAGCTGGGTAACGACAAGATGAGAAGTAAGTTTCTCTCAATGAAGTCTGTGACAGACAAGGCCTCATTGTTACAGCGGGGCCCACATTGCATGCTGTCCCCGTCGTGTGCATTTGTACAAGTGGAGAAAGCAAATTGCACCAGATGGGGAAAGTTGTAAGGCGAGCAGATTTTAGGGTCATAGCTAAACACACATTTTAAGACTTGCATTTAAATTAGTGTTTCAGACACTGAATTTTCCCCTCACTGTGCCTACTAGGGCGGCGCTCAAAGCCACTTTCCAGAACTCATTCGTCATTTATTTTAGTAAAAGCAGATGATGTTCCTGAAACACTTAAATTAATAATGCGTGCAGCCTAGTGTCAGAGGACATAGAAGAATTTTCCCAAACAGAGCCTAAACAAGGGGGACTCATCATGAAAATTCAGGGTGTTAATTCATAGTTTCCTGCTTATAAAAAGTGCTGACGTCAAGTTTGGCTTCAAGGAGGCGTATCAGGCAGAATTAAAATCCCGTGACCCTTGGAAGAATTAACAATTCAGAGTGGCAGGGGGTGGAAAAGAAATTCTCTGATGTAATTGCAATCACATAAAGCAATCTGAACCAGAGGAGGGAGAGCTTCTCCTCCAAGATGTTTTTGAGGAGGCTACTAGAGAAGAAAGACTATTGAGTTCATTCTCCACAAGACTTTTGGGCATTAGAAAACGAGCTTCAGAAGTTTTCTTTCCTTTATTTTTTCTTGAAATAAAGAGCTTATGTTTCCATCTTGAGATCTGAATACTCAAACCAGAATGCAAATTGGCAATTAACTCCCATATATTTAGGAAAATGTATGGAAATTATTTCAGGTCAGCAGAAAGACAAAGCTTCCGGAAGAATCGGTGATGAATTCAACCTTTATCCCTTTGGTTCTCCGCAGTTCTTCCAACTGCTGGAAAATAAAAACAGGAGGTAGGGGGAAGGTGACTCAGAGTTGTTTGGGGGTCACGGGTTTTAGTAAAAGAAGCTTTTACTCAGCCACCTCATGAAGTAAAATCTTCTGTCACTGGTTACTTTTCTAACAACGAGGGCCTCCTCTTTCTCATGGGCACTTCAGCTTCAGCATTGTTTCCCTGAAGCCGGCATAGGGCAGGCCCTCCCAGCTCAGCTACCTGCGCCATTGCTGAGGTCTGGGTATTGAATCTGGAAGGACGGAGCAGGGCAGCCCTTCTGTGAATAGAGCCAGGGAGCAAGTCCAGGATCTGAAGAAACACACTGAAAACTTCTCTCTCCTATTTGGCCTTTCTCCTACTCCCCTGGGAGCTGCGACCCAAGAGTGAAAATTACCAACAGACACAGCATTTCTAGGGCCAGGAAAAATGGGAATCCAGTCCATGGAATGAGCCCGACTTGGCAATTTTCTTGTCTCCTAAAAGGGGCAGTTTTCAGGGCTCCTAACACTCAGAGACACATCAAAGCAGGAAGAAAGCTTTTGGAATGGTTAGCTGACAATGTAGGCCCTGCACATGGCAGGCAGATCTCATGTCCATGCCTCACAGGGCTACTTGGCTAGGGGCAATGGGCCACAGCTCTTCCTTGAGTCCATCTTCCATGTATTTGGGGAACTGTGTGGGAATTATTTCAGGCCAGCAGCTCCCAGACAGCTCCCCAAGTGTCCAAGAACACCTCCAAACCAGGTGCTTAGTCTGCCGGAGTGCTGACTCCCTCGTGGTGACACGAGAAAAATAAGAACCGTGTGCAAATCTTCGTAGAGCTAAAATGATTCCACCCAAAGGATCATCCTTTATTCTGAAATATCTGCTTCTTACTCTTTTGGCATTAGAGTTTGTTTTCTTTTATTTAATTGTTGTATGTTGTCAGGATTTGGTAATTTAAAAAATGTCCTTACTTCGCAAAATAAATTTGGCAACCAATTAAGTCTCTCCAGTGTTTTTTTTTTTTTTTGACAATTTCTTAGACCCAGAAGCCCCCTTTTACCGTTACTGAAAAGGTTTTAATTGTGAAGAAGCCACCGAGGAAACTGTACAGTGTTGTTCCATTTACCAAATGGCCACTGATTTGGCAATTTTTTTTTAATTTTTTTTTTAACGTTTTTATTTATTTTTCGGACAGAGAGAGACAGAGCATGAACGGGGGAGGGGCAGAGAGAGAGAGGGAGACGCAGAATCGGAAACAGGCTCCAGGCTCTGAGCCATCAGCCCAGAGCCCGACGCGGGGCTCGAACTCACGGACCGCGAGATCGTGACCTGGCTGAAGTCGGACGCTTAACCGACTGCGCCACCCAGGCGCCCCTGATTTGGCAATTTTAACTATCTGAGACACAGTTGGGGAGCCAGAAGTTGTTAAAAAAGAAGCCCTGAGCAAGCGAAGTAAGATATTACTTGGTGTATCCTTAAAGATCCTGTATTTAATTGTTAAGAAAATGCTTCCAAGCCCTCCTTCAGAGTCTATTTACCTTTATTGTAGATGCATTTCTTACAAGCTCTATTATAGCGATTTAATAGTCTTAGATTTGAAGGAGAAGATATTTTGGGGAAGAAGAGTGCCCACACAGCTGGGTACTGAAAGTATAATAATAATTATTGTTATAATTAAATGATGTTTTATTAATAATACAGAACAATAACAAATACAATAACATTATCAATATTATAAAGTAGTGAAGAACAATTTTGTCATTTCAATAAAAACATCATTATGGTATATTCATCCTAACAATACTGTCATAACGAAGTAATCCGTGTTTGAGCCTTTGGAAGGTTCCTGAGTCTTGAGGATGCCTGTTGTGCTGACTGCATCACAGATCTATGCTGGTTGACATTTGTCACCTCTTGCCTGGCGCTCTCCCAAATTGCACTCTCGATCACCTCTGTGCCCAGCACAGGTGGCAACTCTGTCTGGTCCAAGAATGGGCACAAGCCTTCCCCTTTAAGATCCCAGCACAGCTGACACAGTGTTTAACCCTTTCTCTGAGTCTTAAGAATAATATGAGTGAATTGCAGGCAGAAAAGGAAGAATTCAACGGGTAGTCAGATGTCAGTGCTCCAGAGTTCATAGGTCATGCCTCCTCCCAGGGCCCATCTGCCCATGTCTCTTGGCCCAGGCCTGCAGCCACATTTCTGGGGCATGCTCACTGCCGGGAAAGCATCATTTTATGGCCTTACTGCCGCCTTCTCACCCCAGTCGAAGAAAGCAGAAACCTCTTAACATCATATTTTCTCTGAAGAGCCCTACGCCGACTGCCATGAAAACAGCCTTCTTCATTATCAAACAGAATTTACATCTCAGTTTGAAGCATCTGCTATTGGTTTAGTTCAGAGACAACCCAAGGTCAACAGATAGATTTTCCTCATATTTCGTGAATAAAAAGACTATTAAGGTCTTTTTAAAGAGATAAAGAGAGTCTGCATCAAGGAGGAGCCCTAGCTTCTATTCTGTACCGGCAGCTGATTGTAATGTCACCTAACAGTGGGATCTCCAGCTTCTGCGTCTTTATGATTGGGATTATGATTTAAGCAGGAAGAAGAAAGTGCTGGGTTTTAAAAATAGCTGTTTGTCCCCTACACATCATCATCATCGTCATCACCATCATCATAATTAATACTAATAGCAAGAATAGTCGTATATAACATTTAGTCAGCACTTCTGTGTTTGAGGCTCTGGACCAAAGCACTTTGTGTATATTTTCTTATTTGAACCCTGATAGTGAGGGAGCTAGAAAAACTGCAGGAATTAGATATGAGTGAACCAAGTCCCACAGCCTGAGGCTGCCTACTGTTGGGCCAGAAGTCCTCTAGACCTTGGCAGTCTCTTTGCGTTATTGTTCCGAATAGTAACTATGCTTTCCCATTTACTCTTTCCAAATTATGTCCCGTCTGCTCTGTTTAATGAGCTTAGAAACGTGTAGCATGTTTCGAAAGAAGAGACTCTGTAAAATATTAAAGACAAATGGTTAACATGTTCTGAAATGTTGGTAATTGTATCGTTGAGAATATAAATCCAGCTGCTGTGACAAAGGGGAAGCAACAGTGGCCTAAAGAAGAGGAAGCTAACTTCTTTCTTATGTTAAAAATCTGGGAAGCCCATCTGAAGGTGACATGTTGCCTCCAGGGTGTTGGGGACCCAGGCTCCTGCTCTGTTGTCACTCTGCTCCTCTTAACACAAAGTCCCTACCTCACGCTATAAAATGGCTCCTCCAGGGGCGCCTGGGTGGCGCAGTCGGTTAAGCGTCCGACTTCAGCCAGGTCACGATCTCGCGGTCCGTGAGTTCGAGCCCCGCGTCGGGCTCTGGGCTGATGGCTCAGAGCCTGGAGCCTGTTTCCGATTCTGTGTCTCCCTCTCTCTGTGCCCCTCCCCCGTTCATGCTCTGTCTCTCTCTGTCCCCAAAAAAATAAATAAACGTTGAAAAAAAAATTAAAAATAAAATAAAATAAAATAAAATGGCTCCTCCAGTTCCCTCTTTCCTGCTAGTCTAGCCAGCCAGATGGAGGCAGAGCTAGTGGAGGCATGTCTTTCCCCTTTAAGGACTCAATGTTCAAGACTGAACACACGCCTTACACTTGCATGCTGCTGGCCAGAACCTAGTCACTTGGCCTCACTTAACTCCAAGGGAGGTGGGGCAAAGCAGTATGGGGTGATCAGGTGGCTGGCTAAAATTCAGAGATTGCATTAATAAAGAAAGAAGGGAGCGTGGATATTTGGGAATAACCAAAGTACTTACAGAACAGTCTTCTGTCACCTAGAAAATTTACTCTATAAAGAGAATGATTTTCTAATAAACATAAGGAAATGCAACATTATGTTTTTTTTTTTTTGAGAGAAAGAGAGCACACATGCACGAGTGCGGGAGGCGCAGAGATAGAGGTAGAGAGAGAGAATCCCAGGCAGCCTCTGCACACGAGGCTCAA